ACTCATCCCTCCCTCCAGCCCAACACCCAGCAACCATGGTGGTCTTACTATTGCCATAGTTTTAACTTTTCCACGATGTCACAGAATTGGAATCATACAGCCTGGAGCCTTTCCAGATGGACTTTTTAAAAAAAAGATTTATTTTTGTTTATTTAAAATTCAGAGATACAGAATGAGAGAGGGAGAGGGGGAGGGGAAGGGGGATACGGAGGGAGAGGGAGACAAAGAGTGAGATTTTCCATCTGCTGGTTCTCTCCCCAAATGGCCACAATGTCCAGGGCTGGGCCAGGCTGAAGCCAGGAGCCAGGAGCTTCTTCCAGGTCTCCCATGTGAGTGCAGGGGCCCAAGCACTTGGGCCGTCTTCCATTGCCTTTCCCAGGCCATTAGCAGGAGCTGGATCAGAAGTGGAGCAGCCGGGACTTGAACCGGCACCTACGAGGGATACCGGCCCGGGCCCTAGGATGGACTCCTTGCGCGTGGCAGCAGGCACTCCGTTTCCTCCTGGCGGTTCCGTGGCCTGGCCTCATTTCGCCTCAGCTCTGAACAACGAGTGTCAGGAGCACAGGTGTGTGTACGTCCACCACCCAGTGGACATCGCGGTCACTGGAGATTTTGGCGATTGTGAACGAAGCTGCTGCAACCCTGCACGTTCAGGTTTTTGTGGACAGAACTTTCCAGCTCCTTGCCCGTGGCCGGAGTGCAGAAGCAGCAGGGTCGTGTGTGAGACCGCGGTTTGCAGGTGCACCAGCAGACCCGCAGCTCCTCTTGCTTGCCTTTGCTCAGAGCTGTGCACGTCCTGGGCTTTGTCACCCTGACAGCTTTGTGTGCGGCGAGAGCTCGATGTCCTGCTGCTCAAGTCACCGCAGCCACAGCGACCCCTGCAGCGTGTCTCCCCTCTCCAGGGAGGACGAGGCCCGAGACCAGGTTTCAGACCTTGTTTCATTTCTTGTTACGGCTCAGGGGTTTTGGGCATTCTGGGTCAGTTCTGTGTGGCGAGTACTCTCTTCAGTTTGTGGTTTGCTTTCCCTGGAAGTGTTTTCCGCAGAGCAGAACTGCTTTGTGAAGATGTCCAAGTTCTCGAGAGCTTCTTGGACTGGGTCTCCCGCGTGGTTTGGAAAAGCACTGTAGGACCCCAGGTCATCTAGGTTTCTTCCCGAGTTACCGCGGAAGGAACGTACAGTTTTGCTTTTACCTTTGGGACTATGATTGGTTTTGCAAAGGATCTACATCGTGTGTCTGTGTTAATTTTTTGGCCCGTGGATCCCACCTGTTCTGGTGTTTGTTGAAGGCTCTCCGCTCCCCTGCCATCATGGGTCGGGCTCTGTGCTGCTCCACTGGGCTGCGCGCCTGCTCCTGCACCAGCGCCACGCTGTCTGCACCTCTGTCACTCACAGCGTCTCCAGTCGGGGCTCAGGCTTCCAGTGCTGTCCCCTTCAGTACTGTATTGCTGTTCTGGGTCATTTAAAAAATATCCATTCACTCATCAATTGGAAAGGTAGAGTGAGAGACAGGGATATCCTCCATCTACTCGTCCACTCCTCAAGTGGTCGCAGTAGCCAGGGCTTAGCCCACAGCACCACAGTGCTGGCCTCTGGTCTCCTCTTCCCCACATAAGCATGAAACAGCTTTGTCCACATGCAAGGATCGCCAGCCGGGGTTGCCGTGGGCTTCATCGACTGCAGACCAAGGTGGGAAGACGAACGGCGACAGCGCTGGTTCCACTTGTGCATTTCTCCTTGAACTTTGCTCACCACAAATTAAATTCTGCTTGGTCACTGCTGACGTACAGTAAGGGGTTGACCTGTGTGTTAATCTTATAAAAATGCTTAATCATTTACTGGCCAATTATTCAGATATTCGACATAGATGTTCCCGTCTTCTGTGGATGCAGGCAGTTTTATTTCTGCTTTCTCAATCTGCTTACACTTTGTCTTTTCGTGTCTTATTGCTTAGCTATAACTTTCTATTCAGTTTTGAAGACAGATGGTGAGAAGGTGCCTCCCTGCCTTATATTGGATGTTCATGGCCAAGATTCTAGCTCTCACCGTTCAGTGTGACACTTGCTTAGTTATTGTTAAACTGTTTGTCAAGTTCAGGACATTATCCTGTGTTGCTGGTTTACTGAGAGTTTATTTATTTATTCATTGTTGTCCCAATACTCTTTATGTGTCCACTGGTATGACTGTGATATTTAAGCCTACTCATGTGATAAGCACGTTAATTGATTTTCAAATGTCAAACCAGTGTTGTATCCCTAGGATAAATCCCACTTGCTGAGGGGTATAATTAACTTTATACCTTGTTGGATTTGTCTCGCTAACACTGGTTTGAGAATTTTCACATCTGTGTTCGTAAGAGATATTGAACTATTTTTTTCTTCTAATGTCTCGATCTGGTTTTGGTATTTGGCTAATGAAGGCTCATAATGCACTAAAAATTATTCTCTTAGCTTCTGTCCTCTGAAATAGGTAACTGGTACAATTTATTCCTATAAATGTTTGGTAGATTTCATTGATAAATACATCTGAGCCTGATGACTTCTGTTTTGGAAGGTTGTCAACCATTGGTTTATTTTTAAAATAAATTGAAGGCCAATTAAATGCTCTCTTCATTCCTATGTGAGTTTTGGCAGCTGTGTCCTGGAAGGATCTGGTCCATCCCATCTGGGCATCAGCCCTGTGGGCGGGGCATCAGCCATGTGGGCGGGGCATCAGCCATGTGGGTGGGCATCTGCTCTGTGGGCGGGGCATCACTCAGTATTTCTCCTTGGTACTTGTGATGTCCACGGGGCCCAAGGATACATTCTCTCTCCACTTCCCACAGCCGCAGTCTGTGTCCTGTTTTATTTTAGTCTGGCCAGATGCTTAACCGTTCTTGGATCTTTTCAACGAACAGTTGTCAGTTCCTTTGATTTTCTCTATTGAATTTTTGTTTCCATTTTTGCTGCAACTGGCTCGATTTCTTATTTCCTTCCTTACACTTTCTTTGGGTTTGACTTGCTCTTTTTCTAGTTTCTGAAGGTGGAAATGCAGGTGATTGATTTGGACTTCTTTTCTAACATGGACATTAGATGCTATGCATTTCCCTTTAAGTGCAGCTTTTTCTGCATCCCGTAAAGTTTGATAAGTACTATTTCTAACTTCATTTAGTTCAAAATACTTTCTAATTTCTTTTGACACTTCTTCTTGGGCCTGGGCTATGCAGAGTTAGGTTACTTAATATATACACATTTTGATCATTTCAAGTTGTTTTCCATCATTAATTTCTAGTTTAATTCCACTGTGGTCTAAGGACAGACGTTATATGACTCCCATGTTTTTAATAATTTGTAAGGTGTTTTATGAGTTTTTTCTCATAACTTTACTTGTGTTGAAGTCTTCTCTTTCTGAAACAAAGTTACTTCCGCTTTGTTTTGATTGCTGTTAGCTTGGCATGTCTTCCACATCTGAGTACTTGTAATCTATACATCGCTTTATACTCAGCACGGCTTCTTTGCAGGCAGTGTGGAGCTGGGTCTTGGTTTCCAATCCAGTCCGAAGTTCTCTATCTGTTGATTGGAGCATTAGACCACGGCGCTGGCCGCTGCTGCACTGGAGGAAGGTCTCTCACCCCTGCCTTCGGTTTCTTTGTTGCCTTTGGTTTGGGACCCTGCTTTAGTTTTCCACTTTCTTTCTCTTTGTCATTTAAGTTGAGCGTTTTACACGATTTGATTTTGTCTCTTTCATAGAACCTTAGCTACACTTTTTAAACCCTGCTTGCCCTGGAATTCGCAATGCGTATTTGCAACTTAACCTTCAGCTAGCACTCCAGGACTCCACGTTTGGTGTGACCACTTTGCAATAGCAAAAACATCTTCTTCCCCCCCCTTGTGTGGCTGCTCCTGTGGATTCCACGGGTTTGTAAGTATCCTCACACGTATCCTCACGGGTTTGTAAGTATCCTCACACGTATCCTCACAGGTTTGTAAGTATCCTCACACGTATGTACGACGTGTACAGGAGCACACACAGTCGCATACATTGTTAGTGGTTGCTTCCTTCTTTTAAAAAGGTTATCTGTTAATTCACTTATAAATAATAACAGTGCTTTACAATATTTTCCCTTCACTATTCCTTACTGATCATCTTATTTATGGAGATCTGAGTGTGTGACCTATATTCCACGTGGGTGGTAGAGGCTCCAATACTGGGCCCTCTCCCGCTGTTTTCCCAGTCACGGGTCCCTGCGGTGCTGGTCGCTCCTGGTCTCACTGCATCCGCCATCCGCCTCTGGCCTCAGCCCCCGCCTGTGCTGAGCCTGGAGTGCTGCCGAGTTTTCAGTCCCAGCTTCTCTTTATTAGGATGGGGCGGCCACCCCAGCGCAGTGTCTGCCCGGGACTGCGCCAACGGAGGCCGGGCAGCCTGCTGTGAGCACGGAGCAGGCCACGTCTGAGCTGAGCCCCGCCACGCGCCGTAACGGTGGCGCAGCACGGACACGGGCCCCAGGCGGGATGCCACCGCACCGCTGAAGAGCTGTTCACTTAACTCAGACCTGGGCCTCTTGATCAAACACGGACGATTGAGCCCGATGGCCCTGGCTCCCCAAGCTTGTGTTCCTCAGAGACGCGACCCAGGAGTCTGTCCAAATCCAGGTCGCGTTGCTAGAGGTGCCGTCCCCTTCTCGTCCTCACTCTCTTCCAAAAACGAAGCAGTTGTCATGGGATGCATTTGAAAGGCAGAGAGAAAGACTGAGAGAGATTGATCTTACATCCGCTGCTCCACTCCCCAAATTCCTGCAGCTGGGCCAGGCCAAAACCAGGAGACTGGAACTCAATCCAGGCCCCCGCACGGGCGCTTGGACCCCAGTGCGTGAGCCTTCGCTGTGGTTTCTCAGCGCAAACCCGAGCAGGAAGCTGGGCAGGAGCCAGGACTCCAAGCCAGGGCAAATGCCCACCCGTCGCCATCACCCTCTCCCCTCCTCGTCCAGTGGGAACAAACCCTGCCCTGCTTTTGTGCCCCCAGGCCACGCCCCAGTGATGTCTGTTGAGAATTATGGAAAACAGTTCCCTTCAGAGAAAGTGTTCGTCCTTCGCTCTGCGACTCTCGGCAGCTCAGAGCCCCTCACCCAGAAAGCTGGCCTCTGGAAATGAGAGCACACACGTTCGTCCCTGGAACCAACGACGGGAATCTCGCCTCCTAATGCGCAGGTGCTGGGACAGGCCCGGGGTGCGGTCCTTGGCAGGGAGATGGTTTTATCTGCACTGCGCTTGGCACGGCTGGGACACGGGTTTGTTTATCTGCACTCAGCTCCCCAGGAACGACAGGGCTGAGGATTGCCAAGCAGATCGAAGATTTGCATCGCTGAGACGACCCAGCGTGCATCACCGTCGCGTCGGCTGGATCCTTCCCAGAGGATTTGTCAGCAAAGAGGAGACAGCAGCGCGAGGATTCTGGGGCCGAGACGCAGGTGCCCGCCGAGTGCAGGCGAGGATTCCCAGGCGCGCTTTGCTGAGATGCCGACCTTTAAGGTCCTAAAAGTTCTTTTAAATTTATTTCTGGAAACTCAATTTTAGCCTGTCTGTGCAACTTAGCATTCCCCACATGCGTGTCAGGGTTTGGGCTTCAGATCAGACGAGACTGGGTTTAAATACCAACCCCCTTACGGATTAGATGAGGGACTGGACCGGTTGTGTGATTACTCTCCGATTCCACTTCTTCTTTGCCAAAGCCATTGGCAGAGGCCGACTCCCGAGGTGGATCCAGGAGAGCAGGAGAGAGAAGGTGGGAGGCGGCCGGCAGGGAACGGAAGAATCAGAAACCCTGAGTGGAAGAGAAGGCCACGCTCTGCTTCTAAGTGAGGGCCAGCGGTGTCCTGCCGGCTCTCCCTGACCGCACAGGACTCACGTGTGCCTCCTTCAGGCGGGCCTGGAGCTCAGCCTCGGCCGGGGGAACAGGTGCATCTCCGGCTGCCGTGGGTGCTCCTGCCCCGAGGATGCAGCAGCCTCGATGCAGCCTGGCCCTCGGCGGCTCGCTCTGTGCTGGCCCGGCCGCGGGCCCCTTCCCTCCACTGCGGTGTGGCCAGGAGACTTCTCCCTCTGACTCAGAGACTGGCTGCCCCCAGGAGTGCCACAGAAGCCTCCCACGGGGTGCTGTGGGGTCGCAGGGCTGACCGCTGCTGCGGGGCGCGGGGCTGCTGTGGGACGGAGGGAGCTGCGTGCTGCACTTTCCCATGAGCACCAGATCCACGCGTCCTCTTCCAGTGATCCGCGTGTTCTCTGGGAAGGGGGGAACTCAGACACTCAGGCCGAGGGATGCCCGCGGGCCAGCTCGGGGCCGGGTGCGTTGCCACGGGGCAGCTGCTCCCACGGAACCTGCCCCTCCCCCCTCTGCTTCTCAATGGCCTCGTTAGACCATGATTCTACATGGCAAGGGTCTGCTCCAGCCACAGCCTTGTGGCTCACCCAGGGTGGGGCTGGGCCGGCGCACAGATCACACCAGCGAAGGGGGCAGGGAGTGGGGGGGGGGCAGGTTCCGAGGGAAGAGGAGCCAGTGTGAGGCGGCCGCCTGCGGAGCGAGCATCTGTCTGCACCACAGCCTGGTGCCGCCCACGGAGATCCCTGAATGAGGAGTGCACGGCCCGGCTAGACCGTGCAGTGCCGACGTCACGGCTGCCGTGGGGAGTGACAGATGCCCAGGCAGCCCCGGCTGCCTCTCTATCCCACTTAACGGTGCACCTGCGAGCCGGTGGCCGGGCGGGGACGCGTGCATTCGGTGTGAGAGGATCAAACGGGTTAGCGAGTGTTCCTGCCCCGGGCCTGCGGCGTGCACTGACGGGACAGGGGTGGTTCCCCAGGGCCGGTGCCTCCGCACCCCTCTCTCCGTCTGGACGCTGTGTGCGAGGCTCACCAGGAGCTTGTCCCTTCACCCCACTGCTGCCCGGCTCCCCGACCCGTCTCTGGCGGCACTGGGAAATCAGCCGTATTTTAGCCCCGAGGTGGGATGCTGAGCGTGCAGTATTTGCTTTCTGGGCCTGGCTCTTTTCGCTTACGCCGTCTCCCACGTCCTCCCCGGTGGTCTCGCAGGACAGGAATCCCCAGAAAGTGGGGCTGGGCACACGTGGACCGTGTTGTTGCCATGCAGCTGCCCCTGTGTGGACTCTGAGGCTGACTCTCGGCTCTGTGAGCAAGGCTGCAGAGCAGGAGGGCGCGTGTCTCCTCCGCGCGCCGCCTCCTCTCTCTGCGGCTGCTGCTGGGCTGGACGGCAGCTCTGTTTCCAGCGCCTCGGGGAACTTGGTACGTTTTCCGTAACTGCTCTGATAATTGACAGACTCACCCTCACCAGCATGGCCGTCTTGGGCACGGAGCCCGAGCAATCGAGTGGAGAGCTGGAAGGCTGTCCAGGGTGGCAGGACACTGAGTGGCCCCCACGGAGAAGGCCATGGCCGCGGCCTCACTCAGCCCGCACCCACAGGTGACCTCCACGTGCCCACAGCCTGAAGTGTGAGTGCACAGGAAGACGCTCGGACGTAGGAGTCACTCATGCAGCACACACCAGGTCTCAGGCCCATGGCCACGTTCAAGCAAGAAGCTGGCGGCCCAACTTCATGAAAGCCTGATTACTTGGGCTCCGTAAAGCGTCCCCTGGAGCCTGGGCAAACCACAGAATATGTGTAGCCCACACCTGTGACCAGCGGCTGCTGTCTAGAAAGTGCAAAGACCTCCCAACGTTCAGAGGAAAAGCAGAAGCAGAAACCTAAGAGGAGGGGAGAAAGTCCGTGGAGAGAGGGTGCACATGCCAGGGCGTCGGCAAGGGTGCGCGCTGCGGCCGCTCCGTCCCAGGCCTCTGGTTGTGGTCGGCTCAGGGAGTGAGGGGAGAGTTTGCCGTGGGGAGCCGGGTCGGTGGCCACCCTGTGTCCCCGTCCCGGCGCTCGGGCTGTGCCTGTGGGGTCAGCTGGCCACAGTGGTGGAACACTGGCCTTTCTCCTATCACCGCACTCGGCTGACTCCCGTGGCCGAGCTCCGTGGCTGGTCCCGTCACCGAGGTGCAGCTTACGGCCCGCGGGTTTCCTGTGTGACACATGCAAGGGGAAGTCACCGCCACAGTGTAGGTCCAGGACTGACCCAGACTTCTCTGTGTCCCAGAAGTCAGTGCCGCCTCTCCTCGCGCGGCCCCTCCCACACCTCGCACCTTCTTTAGTCCGTGGGTGGTATCATGAGATGCACCACGCTCTGCATCTGGCTTCTCTCCGGCTCCTGACACTCGGGCACCTCCAGCGTGCGCCAGGCTGCGCAGAGTTCTGGCATGTGGATCTGCCGCACTGCTCCCCCACGCACCGGGTGGCAGGCCCCAGGTCGTTCCCCATGTGGGGAGACCGTGCCAGGAACACCCGTGTACGAGGCACCACGTGGGTACCTGTCACCCTCCCTGAGAACGGGGTGCTGGGCCGTGTGGGGAGAGCACGGCCAGTGGTCAGCACCTGCATCCCGCGGTCCTGGCCGGAGCTGAGGGCTCAGGCTCCCTGCGTCTTTGCCAGCAGCTGCCTTTCCCCGTCTCTACCGTGCTCATCGCTGTGCACTGGGGTCTACACTGGTGTCTGGATTTCCCTGCTAGTCTGGGGGGGGGGCATCTGTCCTGCAGCACTTGGCCGTCCGTGTGGTTCTTTGGTGAGATGTCCTTGCAAAGATTTGACACATTTCTTGTTTTCTATTTAGTAATTAATTGTAAGGGGCTTACGTAGATGATAGATAGATAGATAGATAGATAGATAGATAGATACAGATACTTTGCCCTATGTCCGATTTCCAAAGAGTGTTCCCAAATATGTGATTTGTAGTTTTACTGCCCCTATGCTTTCCTTTGAAGCATACAAATGTTGAGTTTTGATGGCATCCATAGCATCAGTTTTTATTTTATAAAAATAAACTTGTAATTCAAGGTTTTGGTTTTGTAGTTTGGCCTACCCGAAGTCAAGAAATTTCTCCAAGTTCTCATCATGCGGCTACATAGTTTTGGCTCTTGGCACACATGTGTGAGCGCAGCCGTGTGTACGGTGTGTGGTGGAGTGTGTTACCGGTACTTAACACGTGAATGGCAGATGCTCCCAGCATCCCTGCCTCTCTCCCTGTGAATCAGAGTTCTGTGAATACCTGTTGCCGCAGAGGCAGGATTTATCCGGGCATCCTTGTCCTCCCTGACGGGCTGTGCCCTCGTGCTGCGCCCGCTGTCCACCCGGCTTCTTCTGTGCGTGGCTGCACGCTTCGTGTTTCTTCCATTATGTTCACGCCACTGTGTCTTTGAGTCTAGAGTTGGATATAATTCCTGTGTAACGTGAGAATTCTTTCATGCAGTCTGACAGCTTTTTATGAGGCTCTGTCGTTTAGTCGCATTAATGTCACTGTTGGCAGCTTGGAACTGCGTCTACTGTGTTGCTCCTGTGTGCCATAGGTTTTCTCTTTTGGATCCTTTACTGGCTTGATTCGCATTAAGTACATGCATTTTTAATTGCATACTTTTAATTCCTTGGCTGATTTTCTTGCTAAAGCTATTTTTAGCATTTGCTCTGTTACAATGCATTTTTTAAATTACCATCACCTACTTGATATTGATACTATTTTATGCCTATGTGTTATAAAAAACAACAACCCAGTGTATACAGATAATTATTGTACAATTCAGTCTCTGTTTTGAGGAAGAGAAAAGGACTGTTATGGTGTGCGTGTTTGTGTGTATTCTTTTATATTTACACACATGCTGTGTGCACACGTGTGTTCTCATATGTACACGGTGTGCGCATGTGTGTTCTCTTATATTCACAAACACGGTGTGTGTGTGCACGTATTCTCTTATACTCACACACGGTGTGTGTGTGCATGTTCTATAGTCACACATGGTATGCGCATGTGTGTTCTCTTATATTCACAAACATGGTGTGTGTGTGCATGTATATTCTCTTATACTCACACACAGTGTGCGTGTGTGTGTTCTATAGTCACACATGGTGTGTGCACACGTGTGTTCTCTTACATTTACACACATGGTGTGTGTGCGTGCATGTTCTCTTATATTCCACACATGGCGTGTGTGTGTGTGTTCTATATTCACACGCAGTGTGTGCATACATGTGTTCTCATTTTTATACAGTGTGTGCGTGTTCTCCTATATTCACACACAGTGTGTGCATGCGTGTTCTCATATTTACACAGTGTGTGCATGTGCGTGTTCTCCTATGTTCACACACGCCTTGTCCAGTGCCCCTCGTTGCTTCGTGTGGGCCTGCGTTCCCGTCTCGCGTGGTGCGTGACTTCCCTGTGCTTGCTGTCTTGCGCGGCTCTCGGGCACGTGTGGCGATGTCTTTATTGGAGCAGCGTCTTCCGGAGGGTTGAAGTGTCTGTTTGCTTGTTTTGCTCCCACCGTTTTGAGCGTCACTCCCCTGCCCGCTACCTGGCGGTGTTCCAGGTGAGCAGTGGGAAGAAAGCCCCCCGCTCTTGGATAGGAGCGTTTGGTTCCAGTGTCTGGCTGTTCTTCTGGTGTGATCTTGCGTGGGATTCATCTGTAGGCTGCATTCGCGTCAGCTCAGGAAGACTTCGCCACGGCCTTTCATATCTTCCCCGACTTCCTCTCCCCCCACTTTCCCGGAGCCCCCACGATGCACTGGTGGTGCTATGTCCGTTTCTCTCTTCATCCCCCTCCCTTTCTCTGCTCTGTTCTTCATGTTGGATTGTTTCTGTGTGTCTGTCTGTAAATTTACCAGTTCTCTCTTTCCACGTCTCAGTTCTGCTGCCGAGTCCCTCTAATGAAATTTTCACTTAAATTGTATTTTCCAACTCCGGAATTCAAGGATGGATCTTTTCATGGTGTTACGGCATTGTGGGAAATCCCCGTGGACTCCCGGGCGTCGCGGTCTTGAGTTCTCCGAGCATCCTGAGGATGGCACTGTGTCTTCCCCGGCTGAGTCCAGGGGTCTCTGGGAGACGGCTCCCCGTCTGCGTTTCGAGTCTTTGATGTCTCACGGAGCAGGGTGCCGGGGTAACATGGTCATAGTCACTCTGAGTCCGACGTCTTACCTACCCAGGGCTTCTGT